ACATGACATAACATTACAAAACATTACATAACATTGCATTACATTACATAACATTACATTAAATTATATTACATTAGATTACATTATATTACATGAAATTACATTACAATACATTACATTACATTACATTACATACATACACACACATACATACACTACATTACATTACATTACACTACATTGCATTACATTACATTGCATTAGATTACATTACATTACATTGCAAACATACATACATACAAGCATACATACATACATACATACATGCATACAGGGCATACATACATTAATTACATACATACATTAATTACATACATACATTAATCACACACATACATTAATCACATGCATACATTCATTACATACATACATTAATTACATTAATATGTTAAATACATACTGTCCATACGTTAATTGCATACATACGTTAATTACATACATGCATACAGACATGTATGCATGCATGCATGCAGAAATGCATACATGACATACATACATGACAGACATACATGACATACATACGTGACATACATACGTGACATACATGCATGACATACATGACATGCATACATGCATACATGCATCCATCCATACATACATACCATACCATACAATACCATACCATACATACCATACATGACATACATGACATACATACATGACATACATACATGACATTCATGGCATACATGACATACATCACATGCATGACATACATGACATACATGACATACATGACAAGCATGACATGCATGACATGCATGGCATGCATGACATACATGACATACATGGCATACATGACATGCATGACATACATACATGCATGACATACATGACATGCATGACATACATGATATACATGACATACATGGCATGCATGACATACATGACATGCATGACATACATGACATGGATGGCATACACGACATGCATGGCATGCATGACATACATGACATGCGTGACATACATGACATGCATGACATACATGACATGCGTGACATACATGACATGCATGACATACATGACATGCATGACAAACATGACATGCATGGCATACACGACATGCATGACATACATGACATGCATGACATACATGACATGCATGACATACATGACATGCATGATATACATGACATGCATGACATACATGGCATGCATGACATACATGACATGCATGCATGCATGACATACATGTATGTGGCATTATGTACAGGGTGACTGGGGATCGGAATGAATTGGACGGTCCTTCCAACCTACCTGTTTATTCCAACAAGTTTCCTGCCAGAGTTTCTGTCCTCTTGCAGGATGCTAGGACTGGAAATCCTGTCCACGAGTACCTTGACAAGGCTGAAATCACCATGAAACTCCATATGCGGAGAAATGGCGAAGAAGAATCAAGGCATATTAAGACCGGTATACCTTTTGCCAAGAGGCATGGAAGACTTCCAAGAGTTCTTCCATCCAACCTGACAAACAAATACAAACAATGCAATGATTCAACTTGGCCATCTGCTGGCCAGAGGCCAGAGTTGCCAAAGGCAGCATGCTGCTCACCAGCAAAGGTCAGCTAAGCAGCATGAAGCCTTAAATCATTACAGTAAGCAGCTAAGAGACAAGATGAGACAAGGAAACCAGCAAATCTTGTGACATGCAAATGAAATGAAATGAAATGAACATGTCCGCAACTGATGTGTTCTGTGAAAAGTTGACCATTGTCGACCATGGCCGCGCCTTGAGTTTCCTGCCCCATGACTGCACTACTGAAAGCGCACATACCACCGAAACTGTGCACCACGGACTCGTCAGTGTCGTTTTCAGCTGCAGTCTGGATCACTTCCCAGTCACCCTTGCGCAATGCATCGCAATGCATAACATTTTGGGCAATAAAGAAGACAATAGAAGACAATAGAAGACAAGAAGACACCCCAACATGCTCAACTCAGCCACCAAAAAAGCGCGACGAAGATAACCAAGAGGCGCTGGATGCCAACGTGACTTATACGACGTAATCACTCGATATCACTGCATTCAGAGTTGTTTTGCTTTCTGTCCTAAGCTGTACCTGTTGGTTCAGCAGTCGCTTGTATGTTTCCATGTGTGGTTTCGTGGTTTTCACTGTCACCTATGCCTACAGTATCTGGCAGATTTCAATGCCCTGTTGCTTGCTGGGAAACGCTTTTGGATTCTATTCCTTGTTCCGTAAAGAAACAAATGCCCTACGAGTCCTATGTAATTTTTCCTATGTTCTAAAAAGGACGGAAGCAACGTAGAGAACGCTACCTACTCCACGCTCAAGCGCTACTAGTAGCTGGGCTCGCTATTCTGAGGATCGAAGTTTGAACGAATGGGATACCCATGGAAAGAAAGCCGCGACATGGTAGCATCTGGAGACTGATTTCCGATGATTTCCGGATATATACAGGGAGTACTTACATGAACGGTTCTGACTGTGAACGGGTCTCAAATTGCTGAAAATAGATGGAGTGATCCTTTGAATGAAGGGTAAGAGTGATTGAAATATTCGTTTTGCTGCTAAAGGCACGGTTGAGTAATTAATGTATTGAGTGACTGAGTCAGTGGTTCATAAGGCAAATTGAGCGAATGAATGAGTCAATGTTTGAATAAATCAGGACATGAGCATGTGAGAGAATCATTGGGCAAAGAAACTGGTAGCATGGATGGGGTTGTGTGAAAGTGCTTGACCAGCTATAGTTTACTGAAGGCCTTACATTGACTATCATGGATTTACTCTAGGACTTGGACGGCTTTGAAATGCAGCAACACCAGCAACTAGAAGAAGCGTGTGAGTGTGAAGAACCCTGGTTTCGCAGTTCGCATGTTTCTCTGCTCTTGTGATCTGCGTGCGCAGCTTGAACCCCGAATCCCCTGTGCTCAAGGTCCTAAAGTGTTGGTCCATGTGCGCGGCAATTTTGATTCGCAAGTGTCACAAGTGCCAGGGATAAGAAAGTGAAAGCGATTGAAAGTGCCAGGACACAGCTTCGAAATTGTATATTTTTGAAATCTTGGTAGTTATGCTCCCCTCCTTCCATTTAGGATGACAGCAAAGCCGGCTTGTCAAATGGTCAAGAACTTTGGCAAATTCGCGTTTCGTGCTACAACATGTTTATCATGTTCCCTTGTGAGCACTATCCAGGTCTTGGTGGCCATGAATCGAAGCTTCACATGTTTGGCTCAAGCCTCGATGATCTTTAGCCGCTCACCATAGTTATCATTGACAAACCTGCGCCAAACACTTGATGGACCTAATGCTGAGGAGATCGGAGGAGAAGCAAAGAAGAAGAAAGGCACTAAGAACCATTGAGAACATATTGAGAACATATCTCCACATCTCCCTTCTTATCAAGACTTCCGGGGCCAGAAGACTCAGCACCCTATGGTCATGTAGCAACACTGCTCAAATCTACGCTTTAGATCCTCTCAGCAAGAAACCCACTTAACTTAACTCCGCATAAATTGCGGAATGTAGTAGCTTCAACTTCTATTTTCCGTCGCGTCAGGTCTGCCTGAAACTTGAACCTGCGTAGGCCAGTAGTTGACGCCATGCAGCCGCATAGCCAGGAGGTAACTCTGCCACGTTCTGCTCCAAAATTTCAAGAAAGGCTTCGGCAACTGCTTCGACCCGAGGGGATGTCACATCGTTACCCATATGCCTGAAGCGTGTCAATTCTACCTCAACAATACTGTACATACGGATCATACAGTGCCTTCCAAAAACAGTCCGGAATCACCGGTTCCTTGTTTTGTGCCCCCTTCTTGTGACAATTTCACAAGTCACAGCCCAACTGATCCACAAATTCTCTCTCTCTCTCTCTCTCTCTCTCTTCCTCTTTGTATTCCTGTTTCTCTCTCGCTCTCTCGCTCTCTCAGTCTTGAAAACTTGCATCCAACCCAGTGCAGTCGGACCTGAATGCCAAAGTTTCAACGTAAATTTTGAGATCTTCTGCATCGCTGCTCTTCGTGGCAAGCAATCGAAATCCGTTGAAGAGACGCAAAGACATCATCGCCCGAGGACTGGTGAAGCTCTCCTGGCGATACCAGTCCACAGTTTCAGTACCATGCAAAATACGTAGGATATTGTAGGATGCTGTAAGGAGATGTGGAGAGAACCCTCAATGGCAAAACCTATATAGGCCCTGCGGCCATATCCTCAGCTTTGGGGTTTTAGTGAAAGATGATTAAAATTTAGGTGCCAAAATGTACAAACCATGCAGGTTTATATACACGTAATATACATAGCAACAATATGGTTTCCTGTAATCCACCAATAATTCCTACCCAAACCAATTTCAAATGTATGAAATAAAGGTACAGTACTATACATCTGTATTGGCATATGAACGAGCGAAAATTTGAAGTTACTGCACAAGGCAGGGCAGTACCTTGCCTTGGATTCCCGGGCTTCCTTTTGATCCCTGACCTTTTTTCTAACCTTGCCAACGGCTGAAAAACGGTACATGCGTTTTGCAACTTTTCGTTTGGGGCCAAGCTTTCCAAGAAAACATGTGTTTTCAAATCCACGAGGGATGGGGGGTGTGGTGGGGGGGGCTTATAACGTTTTTTTGTTTGTCACTAATTTTCACTAAAGCAGGCACCTTTTCAAATCATCCCTTCTATCGCGCTGTGCGCTAGACCTTCTTCTTCCTCTTCTGATCTACCATGCGCCACGCTGTAACTTATTCTTCTGATTTTTCATACGCTACGCTATGACTTCTCTCCTTCTGACCCAACATGCCCTATGCTGGAACTTCTTCTTTTTCTGTTTTTTTGCTTCTTCTTCTTCTTCTTTTTCTTCTTCTTCTTCTTCTTAGCTTGGGACTACCATGTTTACAGCGTTGCCCGCTTAAACGCCCAAAATTGCGTCAATTTGATAAATTTGTCCTTTTTCCCCCAAACAGTGTGTCCACACTGGGGGTTCTTCCGGCAAGTAAAAGGCCGGGGATTGATCGGGGTACGTGCTCTGGCCCCCGGTATTTTTCCTGAAAGTGCCCGTGTTGCGATGTCCATGCTCGTGCAAAGTTTGCACAGCGGGGTTGATCTTGGGGTGCGCCATTTTTCCTGTAAATTCTCGCATAAAAAAGCTCTTAGTGAAATGTCCGTGCGCATTTCGACTGCGCAGGCTCGCGCAAAGTGCGGGTCTAAGTTTGCCTCGGGCTCATGTTTGGTGGCAGTACTTTGAAGACCTCGGCAAATCTTTCTGCGATGCCCATGTGCGTTTCGATTGCGCAAGCTTGCATAAAGTGTATGTGAACAATTTTACCCTTCTTCCGGGTGCTGTTATAGTCAGTCAGTGTGAAGTCCGCGATGGTGCCGCTAGCAACTGCCAACGGCAATGCAGTGCAGTGCACAACTGTTTTCCATCTCGCAGGCAACTTGAGCCAAAGTAAGTATTGGCAGTCCAGGGGGCAATGCACATGCAAACCATGATGGGTAATACCCAGCCCACCTGTGGCCTACATCCCTTTCACACCCCGCATGTCTGCCAGATATTGGACAGCAGGCACGAAGTAAGGGATCATCCAAAAGAAGAAATTATGTACAGCTTTCCTACCAAGTATTGAAAATCATCGGCTCGGCTACTCGGGAATTATCCGTTGAATAACTTCCCTTTCACCTAACCATGCTACCTAATTGGGTAGAAGAAGCTATACTGCACAATGGCCTAATGTCGTACAAAATGGACAAGTAAGCGCATCACCTTTTCAACTTTCATCATTGTCTGGATTGCAAGGTGCATGGGCTCACAAGGTCGCCCACCAAACATGGCCACGCCTTTGCTGTACTTTGTAACTTTGGCCTTGGAGTCGACGTACTCTTTGAGCTCCTGATCCCCGGGATAGTCGAGCTCTCCCCGGGGGTCTTCACCACAGTACGGACAAAGACTGTCCAGATCCATCCTTCCCCATTTTTTGCTGATCATATCAGCATGATACTCGCTTAGGGTTTTTGGTCACCCTGTTCTGATAGTAGTGGTTGAAGAGGATCACGATGCTAACCACGATGCCGTTGTCAAAGATTTCGGCGGCTACCCCATCTGTGTCGCAGTTTGGGAGCTGTCGGATTTTCTCCTCCTCCTGCTCCTTCTGCTCACGCTCTTCAGGGCTGATCTGGTCGTCATCGGCAGCCTCATCCTCAGCATCGTCGACAGCCATAGTTTCGTCTTCATCACCACGTCTTCGTCCTCAGGCTCTTCATCGTCATAGTCCACCTCATCTTGGTTGAAGCTGTATTGGCTTTGAGTCTCAGCTTCTCTTTGCGCCTGGTCGATGGCCTCCTTGAAGATGGCATCTTTCTCCTTTTTAAATTGTCCATCGACCTTCCGCTTGGTCTCCGTGTCCTCATCTTCAGCATCGTCGATGATTTCGAAGACGAGTAGACGGAGCCCCTGTGATACCAAGAGCCCCTTGCACTACCATACCCATAAAAACGGTATTCCGTACCTACCCGTGCTGGACCTCCAGAAAACAGGCAATTCATTGCTCTTGAAATTAGATAAATTACACTACACTAATTACATTACACTACGCTACACTACACTAACTACAGCTACAGCTACAACTACGCAACTTTACACTACACTACACTAGACTACACTACACTACCCTACATTACATTACACTACACCGCAACTGCAACTCCACTACACTACAACTACAACTACAGCTGCACGGACCACACTACATCCAGCAGTTGTGGGTGAAGTGACCGACCAGGTGACCACCGCAACCACTGTAACCACTCCCAAAACACAACTCCAACCAGCTTTCGGTCCATCAATGGATTCGCTCTGCCATCCGTGGTTCACAACAACTAACCTCTCCTATAGGTTTCCTATTTTTGAAACTTCCGCCACCGCCTTGCGCGGTACTACTGGTTTTTCCATGGTCCCATCGTATTTTTCCATTAGAATTTCTGTCAAATTTCTAAAGGATTTCTACGGGAATTCTTTGGAATTTCTATGGGGTTCTTAAAAGATTCTTATGGGATTTCTCTGTTGTTCCCATGCAATTTCCATAGTATTTCTATGATGTTTCTACGGGATTTCCATGGTATTTCTACGGGATTTCGATGGTATTCCTATAGGATTTCTATGGGCCGTCCAAAGAATTTCCATGATATTTCTATGGGCTTTCCATTCAATTCCAAGCGGATTTCCATGATATTTCTATAATAGTTCATTGGAATTTGTATGGGATTCCTAAAAGGTTTCTTTGTGGTTCCTATGCTATTTCCATGGTATTTCTATGATAGTTCTTGAGATTTCCATGGGATCCCCATGGTATTTCCATGGGTATTTCTTTGGGATTACTATGGGGCGTCCAAAGGATTTCTGTGAGATTTCCATGATTTCTATGGGTTTCCTATTGGGCTCTCTTTGATATTTCTATGATATGTCTATAGGATTTCTATGGGAGTGCTATGGGATTTCCATGGGGTTTCCATGGGATATCCATGGGATTTCCATGGGATTCCTATCGGGTTCCTATGGGGTTTCTTTGATATTTCCATAGGATTTCTATTGGATTCGGCTGGGATTGCCATGGGTTCCTATGGGGCTCATGGGATTCCCAACAGATTTCTATGGGATTCCTATGGGATTTCAAAAGGAAAATCGGTTGAAAGCAAATTGAAATCAGTTGAAACCTGTTTTCAATTGATTTCTTGAAGCCTTCAAAAGAAAATCAGTTGAACTTCAGTTGAACATTATTGAACGGAAATTGAAATCAGTGAAATGTCTTTTTAATTGGTTTCTTTGAGGTTTTAAAAAGGAAAATCAATTGAAAGTAAACTGAAATCAATTGAAACTCAATTGAAAGTGAATTGAAACCAATTGAAAATCAATTGAAAGTAAATTGAAATCATTTGAACGTAAACTGAAATCAATTGAACGTAAATTGAGAGTAAATTGAAATCAACTGAACATCAGTTGAAATTCAAACCAATGAAAATACATTGAAAGAACATGGAAATCAACTGAAAGTAAGTTGAAATCAATTGATCCAAAGTCAATCAGACCCTGATCCCTGAAAAGTACCTAGCCTAAAGAGAGTCCTAAAATTGTGTGGGGGCAGGGGGGGCCTGACACTAATCAGGATCCAACATTACATATACCTTTCATCTACATCTAATGCTTGCCAAGTTAACAGCCATCCCGGCCCAATGTGTGACCATCCAGCTACTCCCAGTGCTCAAATCGTTGCGAATTTCTTGAAAGAAGTCTATGTCTGTGGGAAGAACTTCGGGGGGATCGGTGCGAAACAGTGTTCCCTTGCGGAGTCGGTTCTTTGTAAAGATACTAAGTTCAAAACATTCCACCACCTCGTCAAAAGTCGTATCGCGGAGCTGTGCACTAGGCGAAAGTAACATCAATGACGCGGATTGTTTTGAAGCCCGTGACGTCGAAGGACGCGTTGCAGTGGAACTCAGCTCGCGCCATCAAAAAACATTGGTCTAAGTCACTAAGTCAAAACCCGACGCAAGGCAAAATGCAGGAAAAGTTAAAACCTTGTGTTGCGCTGTCTCACTGAAACGATAGGGGCACGCCGAACAACTGTATGTGCCTTCATGAGTGGGACTGGGGCTTGATGCTGTACTATATTCGGTCTATGATGCCTTTGAGCTTTGCCATAGAACTTAGTTTTTTCAATGATTCTTGATGTTTTAAGATGGTAAAAGATGGTTTAGTGGCTTCACACACCACAACATTCCACGCACAGCCTCCGTCGGCTCCCACTTCAAGATGCATGAGTCTTACAATTCAATCTTGACTGTTGGATCAATCGATACTTATGGCACCAATGACATCCGGATACTGTCTAGGCATACCAGTATGTCTCCCTCGCCTATAATCCACTGTAAACTGCCTGTGTGCATTACAGCACATGGGCATCCGACCCACCGAAAACAAAACCTGAGTATCCCCAAAAGCGCAAGTATAGAACCTTTTCGTACCGATACTTGGAAGTTGCCTTTCCAAGAACCCATGATATTTAGAGAAACAATGCAGAAAGCGTAGAAAGCCTGATATTTAATTTCCCGATGAACCCCAATAAAGCGTTAAACCATGTTAAAACATGTTCAAGTCATGGCATAAAAAGAAAAACATAGAAAAACATGAGCTGTTGCCCGTTGCCCTCCTTGATGCACAGCAGTGAAGAGGTCAAGGCCCCGTAGATCGCGTCACCCACGCTCTCACGGTCACCGCCCAGTGACGACACCAGCATCTCCAGGGATGTGGCCAAAACGACACACTGCGGCGATGTCCTCGCAGCAACTTGCAGCAACTCGCACAGATTGGCGACGTCTCTTTGACTCTGCCAACTCTGCTCTGCTTCGTTTCAATGTTTTCATCCGTTCCGCAATGAGTTTCACGATGCGTTTCACAGACATTCACACCCCTCTACGCCACTGATACAAGAACACAGGCGAGACAATCTCGCTGTTTTGTAAATGCTCAGTGATGATTTGCATGCACATGAGTTGAAGCAGCTATCGCTTCCTCATGTGTTGCTGAAGTTTGCTGACTAATTGAGATTGGTACTGGCGTTTCGCTTTGTCTGCTTCCGTTGTGTTGCTCAATGGGTCTTTTTTCTTAGGCACTGAAACAAAGCAAAAGCAGAAAGCAGAGGTATTGTCAAGAACGGCTGAAGTGCTGGCAAAGACTAGACATGCTCATCGCGCTCAGGACAAGAGTTTTGCTCGGGGTCTAACGCTTGCGCAGGACAAACATTTTTTTCTGTCTGCGTCGAGTTGTTTAATGACGATGGCATAGCAGTCTAGCGTTCGTAATCCGTTGTGCAAGTAGAATACCTGAAACACGCTGAAACATAGGCATCTCTCGCCTATCTTTCTGAGAAGAACAGGTGTACGTCCGATGCTTCCCTTCTAGGGGCGACACAAATGCAGCAGCTCCAAAGATTCACCAAACTTCACCATGGCAGAATTGCTTGCAGAAGTGCCTGCATTTCAGAGACATATTCAACCATATACATATAAGTTTTAAATTCAGCTACACACACATATATATGTATATAATGTATATGTTGCATATGTTGTTCTGAACCACGCGAGCATGAGTATGATCATTCTGTTCGACAGAAACTTTCACAAAGTGGCCCGTGTCTAATGATCATGCGAATCACATTGTGGTGTAAGGTCATCTATGTATGGAATCGTCTTTGCTTAGTCTTAGTGCATTTGGGTTTCAACGCCAACTGTATCAGACACATCCGACGAGACTTCAGAAGGGTTCTCTGGCGCAGCCTTCGCTGAAATCTGAATCCACATAGTCGACCTCCTCTTGAACTTCGGTCTGATACTCCGTTTCTTCTTGTTCTTGCTGGACTTCCTCCACACAAAAACTTCAATGCAGCAAGGCATCTTCAGTTGCACCAAAGCGAAAGTAATTCAGCGTGGCAGAACATGACAAACACGTGGCATGGAGTCATGGAGAAATTCTCCTCTTGCAGCTCGCCCTCTTGCGAATCGCGATCAGTCACCGCATCTGCAGGCTGCATGTCTGAAGTCCGGAAGCGCGTAAGACGCGTGTCTGAATACTCCCTAGTACGTCGGAGCCAAGATCGCATGAGATTGCAAGCCTCTGCAGTTTCAGGTAAGTCGTCCACAAGGCAAAGATCCTATTTGTCAATGGGCCGTGGCAATGGGATCGATGATGACAGGTCCCAAGAAAAACAAACACAAGAAAAACCAACGAACGGGTCGTAAAACACTCAAGTTATTTCAACAGTCTTGTACATGTTTCCCCTGTTCCCGTACCAGCGTAGCCTGTGGAGTGGAGAACGGGGCGGAGTGCAGAGCGTAGAGTGTGAAGACAGTGAAGACAGCGAAGGGTATGAAGTGGGGATTGCGCAGTGTGAAGTGTCAAGTGCAAAGTGTGGAGTGAAAAGTGTAGTGTGGGGAGTGAGGAGTGTAAAGTGTGAAGTGTGGAGCGTAGAGTGTAGAGTGAAGAGTGTGGAATGTAAAGTGTAGTGTGGAGTGTGGAGTGTGCGGTGTAGTGTGGAGTGTAAAGTGTGGAGTGTGGAGTGGAGAGTTTGCAGTGTAAAGTGTAGAGAGAAGAGTGTAGAGTGTCAAGTGTAGAGTGAAAAGTGTGGAGTGGCAAGTGTGAAGTGTAAAGTGTAGAGTGTGGAGTGTACAGTGTAGAGTGCGGAGTGTAAAGTGTAGAGTGTGGAGTGTCAAGTGTAGAGTGCGGAGTGTAGAGTGTCAAGTGTGAAGTGTACAGTTTACAGTGTAAAGTGCAGAGTGTGGAATGTAAAGCGTGAAGTGTGGAGTTTTTAGAGTGCGGAATGTGAAGTGTAAAGTGTAAAGTGTAGTGTGTGAATTGTAAAGAGTACAGTGTAAAGTGTGAAGTGCCAAGTGTAAAGTGTGAAGAGTAAAGTGTAGCGCGTCCCAAATACCGTGCCTGCCACGCAGAATGACACTCCACACACGACCGATCTTCACCAAATGCATCGCCTGCCATGTAAAATGACATTCTCGCGATGTCCCAGGCTTGCCACACAATTTGCGCTGTCACCACATCACGCAGCCTTGACATTGCGATTTGCGAAAAACACTCGTCTAAGGTGCGGCGCCTGCCACGCAAATTGACGCTGGAAGTCTTCAAAGTCCTGCGCCTGCCACGAGAAATGCAAACCATGAAAACCTTAAAGTATTGTGCCTGTCACACAGAATGACTTTGACACATTATGAAGAAACACGTCGGAATGTCACAAAGCGCCACACCTGCAACACAAGATTATCACCGATGCCACAACAAAACCAGAGAATCGAGACGAGACATGTTGGAAGCTCAAAAAGAGCATTTCGTGCTAGACCCCCTCAAATTTTCACAGTTTGCAGCTACAAAATTAACGTTTTCCTACGAATTTTCTTATGAACCCGCAAATAAAATCATGTTTCGTGCGAAGCTTCCGTCAATTTCATCACATGTCAGAAAATGCCTCAACCGCCAGAATTTGCACGTTGCCATGCAGCCCTGACAATGCGATTCGCCAAAAACGTAACACGACACGTCTGAAGTGCCGCGCCTGCCACGCAAAATGACGATGGAGGTCTCCAAAGCCTTGTGCTTGCCACGAAGAGTGCAACTCTTTTTCTGGAAACGACGCGAAAGTATTGCGGGCACAGAATGGTTTTTGACACATTATGAGACATGTTGGACTGTCACGAAGTGCCACGCCTGCCACGCAAAACCAGGTTACGCAACGTGGTAACCTCCAAAAGTGACCGCTTTTGAAGCACTCCACATTCGCACCGTCATAGCACTATTATCGCGAATGGTTGCAAACGGTCCAAACGGTTGCAAACGGTTGCCGGCGGTTGCGAACACAAAAGCAGCGTCGATCGAACGCCTCTCCACCCCCAGACCCCCAAAGTAAAACCGCCACGGATTCGGGAATAATTCTTGATGAAAACTTCAAGCAACAGCTCCAGTTCAGTCCCCAAAACTGGAATTCAAACCCACGTCGGCCTGGAGTCTGCAGGTTATTGCTCAAAGCATTCCGGCACACAAGGTGTGGAACTGTGCCCGGTTCCGTCAAGGTGTGATGGCCCACATGGGGCGACCGGCAACGGAAATACTCAGGAGTTTGTACTTGCAATATCTCGCGGTCATACCAAGTAAGTATGGTGGCACGCTTGGCACAAATTACCAAATGCTCCAGTAGCGCAGTTCGGGTTTCAAGTTGCGAAGACAACACAGTCTGAGCCCGCATTCCCGGCTCAGTTTCAGGGCTTTCTCAGACACTCCGATCTCTAAAAGTATACGACGAACGCTTCTTAGGAAAAGCCCGTGTTTCATGGAGTCTGTTTTTCGCTACAAGAAACAAGATGAAGCCCACGAACCCGAATGCTCACACGTATGTTAATGGTACAGATGTCAAAACACATGGTTATGCAGTCACGCACAATACCTTTCTGCAATATTTTATTTGAACAGTCTGGTACATGTTTCCCTTGTTACCAGTCTGCAGTGTGGAATGGAAAGTGTAGAGTGTGGAGTGTGGAGTGTGAAGTAAGGAGTGTGGAGTGTAAAGTGCGGAGTGCGGAGTGTAGAGTGTGTAAAGTGTAGAATGCGGAGTGTAAAGTGTAGAGTGTGGAGTGTAAAGCGTAGAGTGTGGAGTGTAGAGTGTGGAGAGTAGAGTGTAGAGTGTGGAGTGTGGAGTGTAAAGTGCAGAGTGTGGACAGTGGAGTGTAAAGTGAGGAGTGTAAAGTGTGGAGTGAGGAGTGTGGAGTGTAAAGTGTGGAGTGTAAAGTGAGGAGTGTAAAGTGTGGAGTGAGGAGTGTGGAGTTTGCAAATTGTAGAGTGTGAAGTGAAGAGTGTAAAGTGTAGAGTGTAAAGTGTAGAGTGTGGAGTGTAGTGTGTAGCGTGTGGACTGTGGAGTGGAAAGTGTAGTGGTGTGTAGAGTGTGGAGTGTG